GGTGGATAAAGTGTTGAAAGCTTATCTTGAGCTGTGTAGCAAGTTTAAGGACAGCCCGAGGTACATGAGATCCTGACCAAAAAGAAGAAGAAGAAGAAGAAGAAGAAGAAGAAGAAGAAGAAGAAGAAGAAGAAGAAGAAGAAGAAGAAGAAGAAGAAGAAGAAGAAGAAGAAACCAAATTAAACCAAGCAAATCATATTTATGGCTCTTGCTCAGAAACTTAAGATCCAGTGTCTCCCAGGAAGCCTGTTTATACTTGAGTATGTCTTATCCCCTCACATACACTATGTCACTCTGTTAATGTCTGTGCTAAAGTCTGTTAAAAGGCTCTTCTTCATGAACTCCAGCTCTATTTAATTCTGGCTTACCTGAAATTCTTTACTGCAGAAAACTCCCACTTCACCTCAGTAACAGCCTCCATATAGGGCTCCCTCGGCTGAGGCAGGGAGCAGCAGAGAAGTAGAAAGTCTCAGGCTTTAACCCACAACTACTGCTGATGCTGCATTGTAAAAAATAGATCATGAAGGTGGACACAAAACAGGACACAGGCACTGGAACTTTACCCTGTAAGCCACAGCTTTGTGGTGATACACAGTTTACTAGGAATGGGTTAAATTAAGATATAAGAGTTAGCAAATAAGAAGCTAATGGGCCAAGCAGTGATTTAAATAAAAAACAAAAACAAAAGTAGGAATACTAGGCTTGGTTGGCTATTGAGATGGTCTAAACCAGAACTAGAGGTAACAGTAGAAGTGCTGGGCAGTAGCTGGACCTCAGGTGCATTTTGAAATTAAGATGAAATGAGATTAGTTGCAAATAAGAGAGAGCTATAGAAGGACTTCAGAGAGTTTTAGCCTAAGAAGGAAGAATGGTAATGCCATTTACTGAAAATCCAAGACAAGGAAGAGCATATCAGTGAAGGAAATTACGTTCTTGACATCATAAGGATTTAAGATGCTTATTAGGTCTTCTGGGGAGATGCTGTGGGCAATTGTTTATGAGTGAAACTCAAAGAAGATGGGTCATATTAAGTTAACAAGTTGGAAGGTAACAATTTATGCAACAAGTACCAAAGCCAAGGAAATTCAGTATGGCCATCTAAGGACTGAATGTAGGTGGAAGTTGTGTAATGTAAAGATCTAAGCATCGAACTGTAGAACCCTTCAGCAATGGAACTTGAGAATAAGGAAAATCAAACAACGGAGACTAGCAAGAGTAAGCTGTAGAGTAGAAGACAGTGCCTCTGGATGAGGCGAGAGACCATCAGTTTTGAAGTTGCTGATGAATGTGAAACTTGATCATTGGCTATTGGATTCAGCCATGTGATGTCACTCATTATCTGGACGAGTATTGGTTTGTGAAAGAAAACCTGGAACTGGGCTCAAGAAACCAGAATGGTGTGTAACGGAAGTGACAAATAATAAGAATTCTCCGTTGAGCTTTCCCTGTGGGAGAAGAATGGAAACAGATGTGTGTCAAGGAGTCAACTAGTGATATACTTTGTTGTTTTCAGCTCTAATTTTTCTGTGTATATGTGACCATGATACAAGTAAGTTCTGAATTTTATTTTTTATTTATGTGATTCTATATCATGAAGTTTTCTATATGACCAATCTCTACATTTGCACTTCTTGATTTTACAACATTCTGTTGTGTTGTACTTCTTGTGATCATTTTCCCCACTTTGAGACGTTTAGATTAAACTAGTCAGGTGTATGCTTGCCTTTTTATCCCATTAGAATTATTTCTCCCAAAGTAAGCACACAAATTTAAGTAATGTATGTTACTTATTCTGTCCTCTCTTTAGACGTCTGCTCATGTTGCTCTCTTTCCCTAGTACTTGTGGGATTTTCACAGTGAACGTGTCTTTTCTTAAAATTGATGGAGATACTTCATGCCATGTCTCTCTTATCTTCTTCTTTAGTAGTTGTACAAGACAGAGAAGAATGCAATGTAGTATTTTGGATCACAGACATATTGTAGAATGTATCATCTAAAAAGCTTGGAGAGGAGGGTGAGGTCTATTATTGGGTCATAGACTCCAAAGCACATTGGGGCCACCTTGGGACCTTTGAGCAATTGCTACCCACAAATTTCATGGAGATTCACTGACACAGACTCTCTGAAATCATACCCACATATTTTAAAATTTTTATCAGGCCACTAAGTAGGTAGCTCAAACTAAGAACCAGCATATTAGATGGTAGAAGGGTATACTAAAGCCTCCTTCTTTTCCCTTCCAAAGGTTCATTTCTTTTAAATCAAGTTCCCATAAAATCTGGGGCTAAGTGAAAGTAGTGGTCTTTCTGTGAATGAAGCTGAGGCAAGACTGACCAGCGAGTCTCTGAAAGCTTGCAGATGGTATACTATTGAGCAAAAGGAGTTTAAGGCCTGGGAGCTATTGGCCTGTAAGTCTAGTATGTGGTGCTTACAATAGTCTGACTCCCAGGTTCTTACCCCACCTGCCTTACCTGCCCTTCCAGGACCTCACTGTGGCACACCTAGCTTGTTACTGTCAAAAGTTCTTGACATTTGTGTCACTACAACAGTTTTATATTGGGCTCCTTAAGATGGTTGTGTTTCCTGTTATTATGTCGTGTGTAGTTGACAACTTTTCTAGTCAGTTTGCCACTGTGAGATATCACGGCATCTCTGTGACTGGTGCCAGCACTGAAGAACAAATATTTCATGAATGAGTCAAACCACAGAATGAAAAGGGATGGTTTTGGATAATTGGTTAAAAGTTTAAGTTGGACGGTAGGTGACTCCTGTAGTGGTTTAGATTGCAAGGCTAGTTTCCCCAGGGCATCTTCTAAAGAAATGCATTTGTGTTTTATTCTCTAGTGATGTCATCATTTTGTAAGAACCTTCATGGTTCAGCCCCATGTCTCGTCTTTCTTTCTTCTGATAGTGCCTCACAAGAAAAGGAAAGGTCTGTTTTCCCACTGCTATGTATGTTCCAACTGAGCATTGTTGATAAGGAGATTACTACTGGGGGAGAAAAAAAAAATCAGAGAAAAGGCGCTTGAGGCCTTTGTCACCTATCTGCCTGATCACTGGTCTACAGGGTCACATCTTACTCTTGCTGTTTTGTGACTTCTTCACTTTCCTTGGATCGTGAAACACATCTAGATCTGTGGTTCTCAATGTGTGGGTCACAACCCTTTTGGTGGTCAAATAACCCTTTCTCAGGGGTCATTGAAGACCATTGGGAAGCATAGACATTTGCATTATTATTCATAGCAGTAGTAAAATTACAGTTGTAAAGTAACAATGAAAATGATTTTATGGTTGGGGGTCACCAGAACATGAGGAACTGTATTAAAGAGTCACAGGATAAGGAAGGTTGAGAACCACTGATTTGGATCCTAGGTCACAATATGGCTTGTGGATTTTCTTTCCTGAAACCATTTGAGACTGTTCACCCAGAAAGGAAAATGTATTCTATTTAAATATGAAGAAATACGTTCATTGTTTAGCGTGATAATTAGTGCTCTCTCCCCCTTTCCCTGCTGGAAACATTTCATCTATATTTCTGTTTTTCTCTTCTAAGTTCTGACATCAGGAAGGCTGTTGTGTGGATGCTTCTGGAATGAGTTATCCTAAGAGTGGCTCAAATGTATGACGGACTTTAAATTACTTGGCTATCCTGTCAAGCTCTTTATTGAAGTCATCCTCTGTTGTCTGCCACAGACTGGGGTGGCTTAAGCCACAGGCATTGATTTCCCATCATTTTCAAGCCCAAAAGGTACAAGGACAAGGTGCTGGTACACTGAGTTCACAGCAAGAACCCTCTTCCCATCTGGCAGGTAGATTTCTCTTGCTGTGAACTCAGGTGGCTCTTCCCTGCTGCAGGAGTATGCAGAAAGGGGAGCTCTCTTGACTTCCTTCCTATCAGAGCATTGATTCCATAGCGAACGCTCTGCCTTCATGACTTGATTACTTTCCAAAGGCCTGTCCTAAAACCACCATGCTGTGAGTTAGATTTTAATATATGAACTGGAGACAGGGGCATAGTTCAGCCCACAGTATCCTCCATCAAAAGAGAGATAGCCCTTGTATTTCTGATATGGAATAAGATAGAAAACGGCAGGGCTTTTCCTATAAACTCCATAGGCTTAGTCTTGTGGTCCTCTATGGTTAATCTAATGCAATGTTTTCTCCAATATTTCATCCTTTCAGCAAATAGACAGAATATGTGATTAGTGCATAAATTCATGTTCTCTACAGCGGTGTATCAGAAGAAGACCACAGAATCCTGTTTGCCATACTTAAAAGCCAAATGACCGCCCTCCTCTCTATTGTACACTGCACATTTATGGGTAAAACAGGGCTGTGGCTCATTGTGTCGTACATCACAGCAGCCCTGCTCACCATCAGAAGTGCGTATTCTTAGGCAGCAGACAAATTACCTAGTTAGTAAAATTTAGAACTGAGTGGGAGGCCTCACCAAATTAGCAGCATGTTTGGATTAGTAGAAATGCAGTGTGCTGCGAGTCCAGAGAGGCGAGCTAAGTATAAGTGCATTGTCAGCCATTCTTACCTAAAGCGTCTTAATACCATCATCCTCTTTCTTAGCTAATTCACTAAGTAGAGGAATTGTTTTTATATCTAACTTTGTCTCCTGTGTCATCACATCAACAGTGTAGGGTCTGGGTAATCAAGCTTTTACATGGAGCCCTTCAGAGTTGCCTTTTCCACATTCGCTGAAAATGGTTCAAGATGATACATCCATGAATAAGGTTTTCACAGACCTCATAGCTATCTTGGCTATCGATGAATGTTCCCGAACACCATTTTCCCTTTCCAGACCCTTTCATAGGGTCAACGCCAGCCAGAATTTCCATACATAAGGTCAGCCCCAGCAGTGTCTTTGAAGATACCAACTCCAGGGACTCACTAAGTGTCTTACGTTAAAAAAATAAATAAATAAATTCAGAGTTGAAGTTCCTCCCTTGGTGCTGAAGAGAAAACTGAAGTGGGCGGGTCTTGTCTTACAGGAGAATGCTGTGAATGGGGAGCACCTGTGGCTGGAGACCAACGTCTCGGGCGACCTCTGCTACCTGGGGGAGGAGAACTGCCAAGTCCGATTTGCAGTGAGTATGTCCCATGGTACCCATTTAGTCTTCCTGGGAAACAGAGGATGTCTTCGGATGGCGGGGATGGAAGGAGAGTGGTTCCCAGATATCCTAGGATGGGCTTGGAAAGGCTCTATCCTCATCGCATAGACCTTCTTGCTTGCCTTTAAGGTTTACAGCTTCAGAATCAAGCTTTCATAGCTCCAGGTTGTCCATTCTAATGACTTTAAGGCTTCGTTGGGTAGGCTACACATAGCATAGTGTGATGCCCAGTGCCACAGTGGTTGTGAGGGTGTTGTGGGAAGGAGTCAGAAAAGAGATGAATGTAGAGGAGGGAAGGTCATTTATGGTAGCTCGTGGAGTGGCAGAGGCCTGTGTGGAGAGGAAGGGGGCAGGACAGTGGCTATGGGGCATGGGATTCCTGTGATGCGGGTGGAAATGGGGTGTAGATGAGGTTTGCCTGTCTCCATACTGAGATCTGGAGAACACAGTTCCAAAAATGATTTGATAAATCAACAGCCAGGTGAGTAGGAGCAGCTTTTGCTTATTAAAACTCACTTTGTGCCCCTATTTAGTACAACCTATGTAGGGTTTAAACTTATCTTCAGGAGCTAGGTATGGGAGCTCTTAACTAAAATCACAGCACCGAGGAGGAAGGTTATAGGATGACAGATTTGAGACCAGCCTGGGTTACATCATTACATAATCTCGTTTTTCTATTACTGTGACAGAACATACTTTAGGAGTAATGTTGTGGGATCTGCGGGCTGTGTTCCTGCCACCCCAGCTCCTGGTTGCCTGGCTAGCTTATGCCCCGAAATAACAACACACAAACTGTATTCTTTTAAACACTGCTTGGCCCGTTAACTCTAGCCCTTACAGGCTAATTCTCATATCCTTATCAACCCATCTCTAATAATCTGTGTAGCATCAGTCTTACCGGGAAAGATTCAGCATGTCTGACCTGGCAGCTTGCTTCATGGCATCTGCCCGGGAGAGGGGAGCATGGCCTCTGAGCTCACTTCTTCTTCTTCCCAGCATTCTGTTCTGTTTACTCCTCCCACCTATGTTTTAACCTATGAGGGCCAAGCAGTTTCTTTATTATAATTAACCAATGACCTTCCTTTATCAGAGTAAAGGTTTATTAAGTTTACAATTCCAGGTCACAGTCCACCACTGTAAGGGAGTAAAGGCGGGAGCTTAAAATGTCTAGTCACACACACAATCGAGAGCAGAGAGAGAATGTGAGCCTGCATAGTTATTTGTTCTTAGTCCCCTTTCTACACTTGTATTGTCCAGGATTGCCTGCTTAGGGAATGGTGCCACCCACAGTGGGCTGGGTCTTCCTGCCTCAGTTAAAGTCATTAAGACAACCCCATAGACAATGCCCACCAGCTAGCCTGACCTAGACAATCCCTTATTGAGATACTCTCTTCTCTGTTCCAGATTGTGCCAAGGTAATAATTACAATTAAACATTAAATTATAAAAAGACAGAAGATATAGCAAAGTAGTAGAATATTTGCTGAGCATGTATAAAGCCCTAGGTTTGATTCCCAATCACGAAAAAAAGAAAATAAACCATGAAGAAAGATCAGTGACCATACAGTAAGTCATGGAGCAACTGAAAGTTTAATGTTGAGAAAGTAGAATTAATTTTTGCCTACATTTTAAAAATTAACCCAAAATTAGAGTGACAGAAAACTTGGAATAGTAAAGAACAAAGAAGAGAAGACTTCCTTCCAATTTAAGAAAATGATGTCATAACATATAGAGGATTTTTATTATATTTTTATTATGCATGAAAATGGTCTGAGGAAAATGTAGGGCAATCAAATAATATGTGAACATGTTTCTGTAGCAAAGAAGACTGAGCTTCTATAAGAGCTTCTAGAAGAGAAAGGAGCCTGAGGGCTTCTGGGTTGCTAAAACTGCCAAGTCTCAAAAACCAACACTTTCTCCAACACCGTGGCAGCTTTGGTCCCCTTATTAGTAGATAATTGTTTAGAAAAACTGTGCTGCTTTTTTAATGGAAGTCAAGTGTGTTTAATGGACATAGGGAACAACAAAAGGCCCTGGAATGGCTCCAATGAGCAGGCTATGGATCTGAAGACTTGGATTTGAGTCTCCGTGTTTCCAACCTCTGTGTGACATTGAGGATTCATGACCTTTGGGTCATGGCTACCTTCTAGACAGAAAAAGAAAGGAGGATTAAATTGCTTTTAATTTTGTTTCTAATTTGGATCTGTAATTAATCGTTTGCATTTTTTCTAAAATCTTGTTGTGAATTCGATTGATTTAAATATCAGCATTTCAACTTTATGCATATGTAGTTTTAATTAAAGTATAATTGCATGGGGTTTGATTAAATTAACCAAATCTGCGAGAAGCTCAGCTGTTTGGACTAAAATGCCATAAATAATGAATTAACATGAAGGTCTTAGATAATTGTATAAACATTGGTCTTGGGATAGCAGATAATATGAAATGGAAGAAAGGAAGGCGAGCTTTGCATTGCACATGCGCTCTATGGATGCAACAGGTGGACTGGCTCATTACCTAGTCCTGCCCCTCTCCAGACTGCTCCCCTTGGTCCTTTTCTGGGCACTCATTTCGGGACAGCTGCTTGCCACACTTCTCTTGACAAATATATTAATTAATGACAGGCACCTCCTTTTCCCAGCATGCCCCTAGGTAGGGCAGGCTGATCTGGAACTGACTGGGTAGCTGGTGCTGAGATCCTTCTGCCCCAGTTGCCCTAGTGTGGCAATTACAGGTGAGCCATCACACCCACCTCCATCCTGTTCCTCCTCTCTGTGCACAGTGAGCGTTTCTATCCATCATTGCTTGGCCACCAGGACCTCTAGGCCAGGAGAAACACAAGGCGAGTAAGGAGGACGCTAGCAGGCGATCCAGGGTGGGGCTGTGAGAACTCTGTGCCCTTTCACCTCCATCTTTGACCTTACTACAGGCACTTAGCCCTCTCAACCCCATTTAAAAAATGTCAGCAAGATGAAGAGCTATCTTCCGAAAAGATGTTGCTTAAGCCAAGTCACAAACAAATGAGGAGATGGGAAATGCCCCATGTGTTTCCTCACGGCAAGGTCCTTACTGCTACTAAGTGGAGTCTCCTCCCCTGCGAAGTGGGGAAATGCTGTGTGAGAATTTGGTGCAGTGCACAGGCGGGATGCACTTGGCATAGGACTGCCATATGAATTGAAGTCGGAAATAGAACAGAAACAGACAACACACCAAAGGAAATATGTTGCCAGTCTATGTAGGAGACATAGAAACAAAGCAGCCCTGAGGAGGGAGTCAGCCTCATGGGCCTCTTTAATTAACCAAGGCTGATAAAGCCATGAGCCCTCCCATGGCTGGTTTAGGCTGGAGATGGCTAGTCACATGACCACTTGGTAGGAATGTGAATGAATCATCAGCGCATAGCTGGCAGTGTGCGGCAGAGGCATTCGGGACCTTCTAGCTCTCCACCCAGTTCAGAGTGTGATGTATGACCATGCTGAATGCCGCGATTGGGAGACATTGGAATGCGATGGAAGATCAGCAGGAGAGTGACCTAGTTGGTCCAGGGTATAGAGCTTTTTGATAAAGAAAACAACAATTAAGAAGGGAATGTGTAGAAAAAGGCCTACTGTTATTTAAAGAGCTGCTTTGAATTAAAGGGAAGTGACTTTCCATCCATAAGGAAGACAGAGTAGAACTCCAGATTCATACCCAGTGTCTCTAACAGCGGTTATGACCCTCCAGTGAGCATACAGTCCCCCTGAGGCACTTGTGAGCAATTTTACTATTCGCCTCCCTGCTCCAAGTGCTGACTCAGCTCTGTCTGGAGCAGGACTTTTAAGCAAGTGATTTTCAAGAAGCACCTTAGATACTGTGGTGTGGGTGGTACCCAAACCTAAGTCTAAGAGTCTGTAGCACAGACTTGTTCATTAGGGTACTTAGGCTCCTGGAGAAGTCGCTCTAAGGATATGTATGTTTAGGTGTGCTGTAGATGACTATCTTGCAAGGATGCTGGAGAGAGGTGATGGGTGCCTGCTTCCAGAAGACTTCAGACAAGGAAGATGCTCTGCTTGCAACTTCCATAGAAGTGAATACATTTTTGTGAAACAGCATACACATATAGATTATGTATTAGATTTATGCTTCTACTTTTATGCCATCTTTGAAGAATGGCGACCAGTCGGCGTTATTGTAGCCAGGTACTACCAGCTGACTTCAGTCAAAATAGAATGGCTTTGTGGGAGAGGAAGGAACCCTTCTCTGAAGACAGACCCTTCCCACCTCACCTTTTTTTTATCACATGAGGTTGACAAAGAAATCCCTGTGGCTAGATGTGGACGGAGGCTGTTTCACAGACATGGAAATTGTGCTCATTATGTGTGAGGGGGCTTGAGGAGAGAGACATTTTTAGAGAGAAAGAAGAACACGAGAAAATTAAGAGGCAGAAGGAAATCATTAGAGCAAGGCAGCCGTCATGGTGTGTGAGCACACCGAAGGTGTTTGTCGTCAGAAGGAATAGGCAGGGTGTAAAGGACAGATGGGCTTGGCTATGCCTCCATGATTCTGAACCAAAACAGGGAGCATGCTATAAAGGTCAGAGAACGCACAAAGCGTGACCACATACTGTGTTGTCTAAACCAAGGCAAATTTAAAGGTGAACATGGGCTGCTGACGCCAGTGGCGCTAGAGGCCAGAGGCTTAATAAGAGCTGTATCAGGGATACTGAGATGGTCACCCTAATTTACACAGACATTGGGTCATCTATTTAAAACAAAAGCTGGGGCTGGGGATGTAGGTCAACTGATGAATGCTTGCCTAGCATGCATGAAGCTCACATTTAATTCCCAGCACTGCTAAACTTAAATCCAGGCATGATAGTGCAGGCATGTAAACTCAGCATTTGGGAGTGGGATGCAGGAGAATCAGAAATTCACGATTGTCCTTAATGGTATAATTAGTTTGAGGGCCATCCTGGGCTACATGTGACTCTGTCTCAAT